AGCCCCTCACTGGGGGAGTCTAGGCAGGGGCTCTACCACTGAGCCACACCCCCAGCCCCTCACTGGGGGATTCTAGGCAGGGGCTCTACCACTGAGCCACACCCCCAGCCCCTCACTGGGGGATTCTAGGCAGGGGCTCTACCACTGAGCCACGCCCCCAGCCCCTCACTGGGGGAGTCTAGGCAGGGGCTCTACCACTGAGCCACACCCCCAGCCCCTCACTGGGGGATTCTAGGCAGGGGCTCTACCACTGAGCCACGCCCCCAGCCCCTCACTGGGGGAGTCTAGGCAGGGGCTCTACCACTGAGCCACGCCCCCAGCCCCTCACTGGGGGAGTCTAGGCAGGGGCTCTACCACTGGGCCACGCCCCCAGCCCCTCACTGGGGGATTCTAGGCAGGGGCTCTACCACTGAGCCACATTTCCAGCCACAGAATAGTTTATTTTGGTAGCAATATTCTTCAAAGCCACAGAAGTGGTACAATAGGCACTGTCCCAAGAGCTTGGAGGTTTCCCAGACACCTTAAGTGGACTCATACATTTAGTTGTGAATAACCTGCTTCACTGCACGTAGACTCCTTGCAAGAACATTTTCTATACTCTTCACTCTCCTGACAATTGTTCCCACCTCAAACGTAAAGAAACGGTAACTTGGGGAGGTTCACGATTTCTCTGGGGTCTCAAAGCAGATATTAGTGAGTGCTCTGGGAGTGAGGGGGCAGCCACTGAGACTTATTTGTCTTATGGCACAGTGGCCATGAGAGAAGAACAAGAGCTCTGGGCTTGGGGGCTGAGGCTGGAGCTCCCTGAAGATGTCTTCAAGATGGGGACACTCAGAGACAGGTGGGCCAATGTGCTGGGTAATGATGCAGCTGGAGTCATTTCTATTGTGTTACTTTTGTGGCTTTGAGGAAAGTAGTTACCAAAATAAATTTGGTCTGGGGGCGTGGCTCAGTGGTAGAGCCCCTGCCTAGAATCCCCCAGTGAGGGGCTGGGGGCGTGGCTCAGTGGTAGAGCCCCTGCCTAGACTCCCCCAGTGAGGGGCTGGGGGCGTGGCTCAGTGGTAGAGCCCCGCCTAGAATCCCCCAGTGAGGGGCTGGGGGCGTGGCTCAGTGGTAGAGCCCCTGCCTAGAATCCCCCAGTGAGGGGCTGGGGGCATGGCTCAGAGGTAGAGCACCTGCCTAGAATCCCCCAGTGAGGGGCTGGGTCAGACCCTTATATCTCCTCTATAAGCCTGTTCTCTACTGAGAAGGACAGCATTGTCCCCTTTGAACAGGTGACAGGAGCCAGTGTGCCCATCTCAGGTGGATTTAGCAGCAGAGTTGTGGGCAGCCCTAAGGTAGAGAGGCTAGGAGGTGCAGGAGGATTCTAATAAGGGCTAGTTAGCCTCTCAGCCTCCAGGGCCACAGCCTCCCAATTGGATCGATTAGCTAAAAACCCTGTGTCTCTCTGAAGAGTTCTAGCAGCCAAAGTTGGTCTGCATTGTCCCCCCATCCCCCATCATCTTCCTAGGGACTAAGCCCTGGATTTGGTTAGCTCTGGGCTGGCTATAGGTCACTCACCTCAGCCAGCCACTCCCTGCCTTGTCCCCAGAGAGGGCCTCTGCTCTGCGGCCTGGAAGACCCATAAAAAAGCTCAGCACAGTGGCTGCCTGCCATTGCGGGAAACCAGAGGACAGTCTTCTTGTCTCAATTAATTGCCATGATGGTGCCTGTCACAGCCCACTGCCCTCCCCACTGCCAGCTTCTCACGCAACCCTAGATAAGTTTGCATGACAGCCTCAGCAGGAGCCCCAGGCCTGGAGCCCCCGCAAAGATGAGAACAAGCTGCAGTTCTAGGTCCCCAGCAGGCCCTCAGTCATCAGTCTCCTCCTACGGAAAGCAGGCCGTCACAGCTAAAAGTGGTGCCCCTTTCTGTTCACCCCCAATATCCATGTCACATCAGGGCTGGAGACACCATTCTTTGGTTTTACTACTGAGCTATACCTCAAGCCCCTCATTGGGGGATTCTAGGCAGGGGCTCTACCACTGAGCCACGCCCCTAGCCCCTCACTGGGGGATTCTAGGCAGGGGCTCTACCA